TCCAGTGTAAGGTAGGTAAGGTAGGTAGTTACCTACACTGGACAAAGAAGCACCTAAGGTACACAGAGGTACCTGCACCCGAGGTTGCTTGAACATCCGAAAGGCCCGCTCCGCTCTATCAGTTTCATTCCATTGAACTCGAATACATCCATCAGTTAAGATGATTAAATCTGGCTGGAAGAGACTCACTCTGCAGACCTTGCAGTGTGCAGCTTTATCTTTGAATATATATGCACAGTGGCACAACACACTCATGCACAATGCAGATCTGCGAAAGAAAAGGATGCTGACTGAGACCAGGTGTCACGTAGCCTGAGGAGCACAATTTATTTATCCTCGGTAGCATTAAAGTTGGCTATTCTTTTTCTCACTCTAACAACTGAAGTAAACACGCCACCGGCTCAACGGACTCATCAAGTGCAAAGACCCATGGCAACGGAGCCTGCACCCTGAGAAGAATGGAGGGCGACTTCTTCCGCATCCAAACGCCGCGATATACACATCTTAATACTCTGCCTCAAGGCCCTCCTCGCCTTCAAGAGAGTCGGCCGCAACCTCCTCATAATCACGCTCGAGGGCAGCAAGATCCTCACGAGCCTCAGAGAACTCGCCCTCCTCCATACCTTCACCAACGTACCAGTGGACGAAGGCACGCTTGGAGTACATGAGATCGAACTTAGTCGACAGGGCGGACCAGGCCTCCGCAATCGCAGTTGTGTTGGAGAGCATGCAGCTATTCGCATTGTCAGTAGACTGTTATACAGCTAGGCATGGAGGGATGAGGATGTGACTTACACAGCGCGGCTGACCTTGGCGAGGTCACCGTTGGGCACCATCTGAGGAGCCTGGTAGCAGATACCAAGCTTGAAACCAGTGGGGCACCAATCAACAAACTGGATGGTACGCTTGGTCTTGAGAGTAGCGACAGCTGCGTGGGCATCGTTGGGGACGACATCTCCACGGTACAGCAAGCAAGTTGCCATGTACTTGCCGTGACGGGGGTCGCACTTGACCATCTGGTTGTTGGGCTCGAAGCAAGACATGGTCATCTCCTGGACAGAGTTGGCCTCGTGGGCGGCCTTGGCGGCAGAGATCATGGGCGCGTAAGCGACCAAAGGGAAGTGGATGCGAGGGTAAGGCACAAGGTTGGTCTGGAACTCGTTCAAGTCGACGTTCAGGGAGCCATCGAAACGGAGGGAAGCGGTAATGGACGAGACAACTAAGTAAAAGTCAGATGCAAGCTCGCATATTGCACGATCGTATCTGAAGGCTTACCCTGGGCAATCAAGCGGTTGAGGTTCTCGTAGTTGGGGCGCTCAAGACCCAGGTTACGACGGCAAATGTCGTAGATGGCCTCGTTGTCGACCATGAAGGAGCAGTCGGAATGCTCGAGGGTGGTGTGGGTGGTGAGGATGGAGTTGTAAGGCTCGACGACAGAGGTGGCGGTCTGCGGGGCGGGGTAGACACAGAACTCGAGCTTGCTCTTCTTGCCGTAGTCGACGGACAGACGCTCCATCAGGAGAGCGCCGAAACCAGAGCCAGTACCACCACCGAAGGAGTGGAAGACGAGGAAGCCCTGCAGGCCAACGCAGTTGTCGGCAACGCGGCGGACCTTGTCGAGAACCTGATCGATAAGCTCCTTGCCAACGGTGTAATGGCCACGAGCGTAGTTGTTAGAGGCATCCTCCTTGCCGGTGATCATGTGCTCGGGGTGGAAGAGGCCGCGGTAGGGGCCGGTGCGGACCTCGTCGACGACGTTGGGCTCAAGATCGCAGTAGATGGCGCGGGGGACATACTTTCCCTGGCCTAGAAGATTTGGTCAGCACTCACAGCGGAGGCGAGAATACTTCAGGACGAAGCATACCAGTCTCGGAGAAGAAGGTGCTGAAGCCATGGTCGGGATCGGCCTGCTTACGCTCCTCGGTCAAGTATCCATCGGGCTGGAAAGGGCATCGGGTTAGCATTCTGTGGACTGGATAGGAGCGGCGGGTTGCCAACGTACCTGGATACCGTGCTCGAGACAGTAGAGCTGCAGAAGAAATCAAGGTCAGCCATCAGACGCATGAAGAAGCAGGTCATCATCAAGTATGGCCACTGATTGGGCCAGCAGAGCTTCGTACCGCGAGTTGACTCGGCGGCACGGCGGAACGGAATCAGCACAAGTCCAGACGTACCTCCCAGCAGGAGTTGGCAATCTGGCAACCAGCCTGACCGACTATAGGGAGACAAGTCAGCAACCGTGTGTTTTCAAGTAGCAGAATAAGGATGTTCGTGACAGGAGATATCAGCGACCGAAAGGCAGCTTGCGAAGGAAACGGAAGTGAGAATGCGGTGAAGACAGCCGACGCGTGGGGTCAGGGGAGATCAAAACAAAAAAAAAACAGGCGGCAACTTACCGTTGATGCTAATGACCTCACGCATGATTGCGGCGACGAGAGGAAAATGAGACAAGCGACTGAGAGTAGAGGTAGGGAGCAGGATCAGGAGCGTCGGGAGTGTCGAGCAAGCAGAAAAAAAAAAGTTGTTTTTGCAGCTATCGCGAGAGGATGTCGACAGGAGGTTGAAAAGGTTAGGTTAGGCCTGGCAAGTACAAGGGAAAGAGTAATAGGTTGTGCTAGGTGCCGGGCTCGTGCTCCTCGTTTTTGGTGGTGCTGCTGGAGTCCTCGACTGGGTTCCTCAGGTGGTCAAAGTCGGGGTGGGGTGGGATGGGAAATTTGGTGCGCAACAGGGGCCGTGCTACAGTTTTTGTTGATATGAGTCTCCCCGAATTGGTAAGCGCGTCTGTCCACGTCTCTCTCAGACAACCGTCCAAAGGACGACTGGCCAATGGCCGCATCGAGTCGCGGTCCTCCCGGGGCGTGGGGTCTTGCCCACTGGCCCCGTGGTGGAGATCTTCTGGCAGGTACAGGCCAGTCAGTGATTGGTTTGACAGGTGAGCAAGGGCCCTGGGCCGAAGCCCAGTACACCGCACTTCGCTGGGAAAGGCAACGCCGGTGACAATTCCTCTCCATAGTTTTCAACCTTCAGCTGCCTGAGGTAGCTTGACTGTGCACAGCTGCCTCATCTGAGGAGAAGTGCTTTACAAAAGCACAAGTGGTTTAACGCGTTCTAGATTGTTTACATGAGAACTAGGTAAGTAGGTACCTATCTGAGGTGTCTAGGTAGGAGCGAGCTGCGCTGTATAGGTAGAAGCAGAAGCAGCAGTTGTGCAAGCATAAAGGTAACAGGCAGGACGAGAGAGAGAGAGAGAGAGGACACGAAGGGCATGCACATACCTACGGAGAAAGAGAAACCCGTCGAAGATCCCCAGAGCCGAGGGACCAGCCATTCGGGCTTGCAAGATGAGGCACGCTGCATTCACTTCTGATATCAGATAAAGGCAGAGCAGGGGCACGGACATGGACGATAGCATCGCCAAATTGCGCTTTTTCCTGCCTGCCACCCTGCCTACTTACAACGTTTGGTAGGAAAGCTGCCTTAGATCGCAATACCATCATTTCATTCTAACGAGTCTGTCCCGGACGCCATTTCAGGCGCTCTCCCAGCTCGAAGTAGATCACGGGGCGCCGCAATAGACGTAAGTATCTCGCATCCATCAGTGTGAGGTACATGTCTGCACCGCGGTCGGCACACGGAACGGACAGTGGAAACGGACCCATCCGAGAACCGTCGCGGCGGCGGGGACAACATCCATCTTTCGTCACCTCCATGCATCCTTGTCTCCAACACCACATCGAGTAGGTTCGAAGGACAGACTTGCTGTTTACCATCGAACAAGATATATGCCACCTCTCTCCCTGATTTCTCTACCACGGGAATATTCCGACCGCAATCTGCTTCACCTCAGACCACAACCCCCCTCGGGCTCTGTGCCGCGCTTGTCACATGCGCCTCTCCCTACAGCATGGCCTTTCCATGGCCATTTTTTCCAACTTCGCTGGTGCGAATACCGAGAAGGTCATTTTCCAAGCGCCAGAGACTATCAATGTTCCGAATACATCGTCCAACCTCGGCGACCTCCGCCTAGACATGCTCACACCAGACCACTGGTCCAAGAGGATTGATCTGCCAGCTTCTTTCCCGGCCCCTGCGTCTCCCTTTGGGAGCCCAACCTGGTTGCTACTCAAGAACCTCACACAAGACCAGCGGTATGAGCTGAGAGTGTGCTGGGCGGCTACTGTAAGATGCTTCACACCCTGTTCATCATCATCTCACCATTGACGACCAAGTAGCAACCTACAGCTTTCACCCTCGATGTGTTTGAGCTGCCCGTTGTTTGGGACACCCCCGAGCTCATCTCTTCCCTTGCGAAATATGCCTCCTCTCGCATCGCAAACCGTGAGGCGGATAGCTCTTCGGCCTCGTACTCAACGCCCATGGAGCAAGAAACTTCCCTTTTGTTCCTCAGGATCTTGGCTGCGGCGGATTACTACACTGACAACGCCACGCTCATGGCCAATGTTGAACACGTTCGCGCCGACCTCATACTCGATCCATTTCTACTGAATGCTTTGCCGAGGTCACTACTTCCAACCGTCTTCTACATCAAGGGGGTGTCCATCATGGCCTGGCTTCTATCTAGGGTCATTCTGATTTGGATTCAGCCAGTACTTGCCTCTGAAGGCAAGCCTGAGAGGAAGAAAAATATTTAAGCACGAAACTACCGCATCTATCCCCCTCTCCATGCATTCATGTCTTGCTCAAAATGAAGGGAGTTCTAACGACAAACATCGACTGCCTACAAATCGGGACCGCACCAGTTTGCGTCACGGCCTCTAGACTCCTCCTCGCTCTCGTCTCGACATAGTTAGCCTCCCGAAGCGAGACGGTACAATTTCTGGCTGGCTTCTGTTTCTGGCTTGTCCAACAAACCTCCTAGCCTGACGAACTAGTGGAGCGAATAGCAAGAAGCGCCTTCCTTGACGTGAAAGGCATAAAATGCAGCCCCATGCCATGTCACACTCCTGTCTGGTCATTTAACAGTCCATTCCTCATGGCACTCAGTAGTGGGTGTTGTAGCCACCCTGCTGAGAAGAATTGCCAGCATACGAGGGTTGGCTGGGGTAGCCACCGGGCTGGGAGCCTTGGGGGGTCCCACCACCGTAGGTTGCCGGGTTGTATCCGCTGTACTGCTGTTGCTGTTGTTGGTTAGACTGAGCGGCGTAACTGGGTTGCTGGCCATATGATGAAGGGGGTCCGCCAGAAGGCGGAGGAGGGTACTGGTTATGAGATTGCTGAGGCGGCGCCCCATAAGCGGTGTTGTGATGCGTCTGGCCCTGGTTCGGCGTGGAGTACTGGTTAGGCGGTGGAGGAAATGACTGGTTGTGATTCTGGGCTTGAGTCGGCGGCGGAGGATACGACTGTTGGTTGTGACCCTGGTTGGAAGCGGGCGAGTGGTAGGAAGAGGCACCTGCCGGTGGGGATGAGTGCTGGGTATGCGTCGAGCCCGACGGCTGGTAAGAGGTAGGAGGAGCCTGGCCAGAGTAACCGCCGCCGCCAGAAGCGCTGTTGGAGTATCCGTAATCGTTGCTCTAGAAAGACAATCAGTAATGTCACATGGGCGTCTGCGCGTGCTCTAGAACCTACGCCGTGAGCTGGCTTATTACCACCAAACATATTGGCGACACCGCCCATGAGAGAACCTGCGAGACCTCCATGCTGCTGCTGGTGTCCCGTAGACTGGCTGCCGTGGTAGTTTTGCTGCTGTCCCTGATGGCCTTGCTGCCCCTGTTGCTGCTGCTGCTGTTGCGGTTTGTTGAGGAAACTGGAAGCCAGTGCACCTCCGAGTTTGCCCAGAGAGCTCTTTCCCCCACTACTAGTGTTGGCGTTGTTATTTCCATGACCTCCAATCCCACTGATTAGCTGACTTGCAAGCCCACCGAGAGGACTTGAAGAATTCCCATGGGAGCCTGATGAGTTGTTATGGCTGGAGTTCTTGCCAAGCAGCGCGTTCATAGCCATGCTCTGTGGACAGACGGCAGGTCAGCATGATGTGAGCAGAGAAACATAGCAACAAAGAAGACGCAAGGAGGCGAGCATAAGATCTTGAAGACGATAAGGACGACGGGCAGACGTACACCTAGGCCACGGTCGCCCGTCGGACCATCAAGACCTCTCGTGTTTGTATTGTCGGGTGGCATGGGAGGGTTGACGGGCTCCAGGGTGCCATCGGCGTGTCGCACGGTCTGGCTACCGTCGGGATGGGTGATGAGTTCGGGTTGAGGAACGCCGTAAGGATGATCAGAGGGTTGGGCAGGAGTTGCGCCTGTGGGAGCGGCGTCGGTCGGAACCTCCCATTGCGAGACACCGGTGGAAAGCTGCACGAAGTAATACTTCTTGCTTGAGCCATCCCACTGGGCGATCCAGCCAGCAGGGAGATGGGGCGGGGCAAACGTGGGGCCTTCGGTGCCCGGCGAGGTCGGACCTGCCATCAGAGAGTAAAACGGCGTCGTCTGGTCGTAGGCGGACGGAGGGTGATAGTATTCGGTGAGGCGGCGAGGATGGAGTGTTGAGGTTGTCGAGGGTCGAGAGAAAGTGGTGTTGGGTGCAAAGGACGGCGGGGACGGTTGGAGGGTGGACGCGGGTGAGGTGCTGTGCGGTGCGTTGCAGCCAGGTACGTTCTTTAGGTACCTGTTCGTGCGGTGTTGAAGTGGAAGGTAATTAGGTATGGATGGATATTGGCTGCACGTATTGGCTCTGCAATTGGATGGCCCCGGGAGCTTAGCAAGTAACGTAGGTAGGTAGGTATCTCACCTACCTTACCTCAAGGTAGGACCCAGGTCCAGATTTTGAATTGAAGCCGACGGGAGTGTCCAGATTCTTGGTAAGGTGCTCTGTATATTACCTAGCACGCCTAGGTAGGTAGGTAGGAAGGAGAAGAATTGGACAAGAGCCGCCTGAAGTTACTGCAGTCAGAATAACAGACGTGCTGAAGAAGACCCTGTTTCACTGTCTGTGTGCCAATTTGAAGGGCTGGTGACGACAGCTTTTAGCACTGCCCCAACCAAGTTGCTGACCATGTTGCTGAACTGCACGCTTGCGCTGCCACGCCGCCTTGCGCCCTTATGTCCACCCGGCCTTCATCTCAGCACCTTATCCGACAACGCGACCCAGAGGTTTCAAGTGTTTCTGTCCAGTGACAGGGGATCAGGACCAGGACGGGACAGGACGGGACAGGACGGGAGGCGGCCTCAAACACCTCGGCCAATGGATGTTCCGCTTAGCCACAGCCTGGGCCCTGTTGCCGCATCATGTTGTGGCTTGGCAAGTGTCAACATCATCTGCAACTTGTAAGTCATCATGTTCAGACTCAGACTGTGGATCTGATCCCTATGCATTATATTGTTTGGCTTTCAGATGGACTTCATTTCCGAGCAAATGACCTGCCAGGGACGCACCATGCCCTCATCACCAGTTGTGACAAGCATCTCCTCCGTCCCTTTTCTCTCTGATCCTGCGTCGTACCTCTTGCACCAGGTAATATGGTTGATCTCGTATGGACCGTGAGCGTTCGGTACCGTCGCTTCCACCCTCCACCTCCCTGATTGACCCGGTCGCTCGCTGGCTTTCTCAGGTGCTTCTTCGTCGTCGTTTCCCATTCCGACCCTTGTATCATCATACTCCCGGTACACGGCAATGACACCGTCACTGCCAGTGCTGGCCATCAATCCTGTATCGGCACTCCAGGTCACCGAGTAGATGTCCCTCGTATGCGCCTTTGGAAGGATGGCGTCGCAACCCCACTCCTCGCGAAGCGACCTTCGCATGGTGTTGGGAATGCCCCCAAGTCCTGGACGGAAACCCGAACCTACACTCGCCCCGTCCTCCTCGTCCTCCTCTTGTAGACTCCATAACCGTATGGTCTGGTCCGCCGAATAGGTCATCAGCCTCGGGAATCCATTGTCCGCACGCGGCTTCTGTTCCCACTGCACACCCCAAATGGTGCCGTCATGGCCCTCCAGTACCGCCACACAAACCCATTCTCCATCGCCATCTTCGCGCCATATCCGGACCGTGTTGTCGTAACTCGCGCTCGCAAGAACATCAGCGCTGTACCTTCTACGCGAGTTTCTCCCGGGCACATCGGGACACCATGCGATGCCCTTCATATCTCCGTTATGTTCGTTGAGCACGGCAACCGTCTCCCACTCGTCATCCCCTTCGGAAGCGCCCACATCTTCCCATATCCACACAGTCTGGTCTCTGCTACACGTGGCGAGGTAGGCGCCTGAAGGCGCAAATGAGACCCCCTTGATCTCCGAATCATGACCTTCCAGCACCAGGGTGAACTCCCAGTCCTTGTCCCCATCATCGTCGCTGTTTCCATTGCTGTTGGCTCGCTGCGACGAATTAAGGTCGATCTCGAGGGAATCGCTGGCAGTGTCGTGGCCGGAAAAAGGTAGCTCGCCATCCCATCGCCACAGGCCAGCAGTAGAATCGAAGCTGCCGGTGACTAGGCAGAGCTGTTGAGGTGGGAGATTGGGCTTCCAGGCAACTGAACGAACGGAGCGTGTGTGGCCGCCGGAGAGGCTGCTGTGCGAGGACAGCGAGGATAGCGAGTAGATTGTGACCGATTTAGAGTGGGCGGTCGCAATTAGAGGCAGCGTCGGGTGCGGCACCGAGCACCATGCGCGTTCGTAGAGATCAGGCTTGAAGGGCGGGAGCGGACTGATGCGGATCGCCAAAGATGGCGGCACATCCGTTGACGCGGGCATTGTTATGGGGGTTGTCGCAGCGAAGGCGGTGTCGCACAACTGACTGTGCGGACGGAACAATCGGCTGCTCAAGATTCACACAAAATTTCTGTATCTACCCACAGTAGAGACTGTTGTTTGCTTTGCAATGCCGGTTGCGAGAGTGGACGCGGCAGTGCTGACGGCGCAGATAAGTATGGGTAAGAGCGCAGGACATCTGGTGATGCAACTAGATGCCCCACCATGCCCTGTAGCATGCGCAATGTTTTCACAGTACAGATAGCAGAGTAGTGAATTCTACCCCGCGGTCGGTGCGTCGCTGGGATTCACTACACTCCACCCGGTCAGGTTATGAGGTGACGGGAGTCCCGTTCTTCCTTTAGGTCGGGCCGTATCGCTACTACAACGGGCAATCTTTCTTCCAGCAACCTTTAATCTCCAATAAAGCCCTATACCGCCTATGGATCGCCGTCAGCCGGAGTTGCCGGCCCCACATCGACATTTGCCGCCATACCGTACACAATATTGATTCAGCAATGGAAAGAAAAAAGGAGAGAGGCACCAAGACATTCTTCCAATATGCAGTTTCATGAGGGAAGCAGTGGATTTCAGAAGCAGGACGGGACACTCCGTGCAGGTGCACAAACTGTTGCGGGTGGGGGTTGATCCTGGTGCGTTTGGAAAGCGAAGCCATAACTTGAAGCAGAAGGGGAAGTTCAACCACCATCTCAATTTACATCGGTGGAGACAATTTGAGATGTTACACGCATATTCCATTGCCAACCATCGACCCCCGAACCAAACTCTCCGCTCATCGTTCAGATGGTGACTGGGCCGATGCTATTCCGGTGGCATAGTCGAACCCGGCGGAGAACCATGACCAAGAACTGTGATATGTTGCCATCAGCCAAGTAAATGCAATTCTTTTGCAATCGAAGGAGTGGCTGGCCACGATTTAATATCACCTACGTGATCTTTTTTTTTCCTTTCCTTCTCTTGCAGTAAAAGCTGTCACGTTCGCGGCTGCTATCCGTCGGGGTTCATAGGAAATAATGAACGCCTTCACCGCCAGCGTGTTATATTGTCTAGTAGGTGAAAAAACTGCCGCAGCATGGTTCCTACAACATGAACAGACCGAGACTTCAGGTTGCCCGACTCATTCTGCGCATTGCTCGCTGATCTAATGGACGACGGAACCATGCCTTGGCTTCGGGACCCGATGTCGTCAAAGACCGCATGTTGCATGTAGGGTCAGAAAAAGCGGCATTGTCCGACTCAACTGAGAACCAGTCGTTCCGTATCCCCAGCCGTGTCGGGCATTTCTTCATTTATGGAGGACCTCCGTTAGCTCCCACCTGAGCAAACATGGTTTAAAGGTCACTTAGGAGGGGCCTTCAGCCCAGCCTAGAGACAAATGCTCGAGTTCAACCTAGCAAAACTGACCCCACATGCGTGTGGTTTCTGCAGCCGGTGGCTGTCACTTGTCGGATGACGATCTGGAAAGCAAAGTCGTATGAGAAGTCGTCTGTATGCAAAGAATCGCCTTGAGACCATCATCGCCTGCGCCGTTGGTTGGCGCCGGGCTTCCGTTAGCTCAGGGGCTGAAAATTCTCCAGAGCTAGCGTAGCGGTGCCTACAGATGCTGACTTCACATCGTGGCAACGGGGGCTCGAGATGAACGAGTGAAAACCAATGCAACATTAGCTGCTTGCAGCATTAACTCGCATTGCTCAAATGTGGCTAGCCACAGCTGCCATCTCACCTATGAGATCGCCGCAGACTTTTCGCCCGCACCGGCGAGGAAACAGCAATAACACTATGTGGCACGCAAAAGTTACGTCGCAGCTTTTGGTGCACCCCCAAAACAAATCATTGAGAAGTGTGGCGCGAGGTTGAATAGATCCCCTCAGGTTTAAAGAACGGATTAATGAGAACCACGCGGCAGAGAACAGACCGACCGTCTTTTGAACCACCCATCAAATTATTAGCGTAGCATGAGAAAGGAAGCATGAATGACTGACAGACAATGAGTAATTGACTAAATTCGATTCGGTTTATGCAGGAGGTCTTCCCACAGCTTTACATTGCAAGAATCATCATGGTAGCAATCGCGGCGGTGATCTATTCGATGAGCTGTGTGATGTGCCGAGGATTCTCCTTGCTCAGGTGAAATAGCCAGCATGTTGTATGATATATCCTAATGAGAGCTCCTAGCCCAGGTTGGCAGCCAGACTGGAGCAAAACAGGGAATGGAGGCCACATATGACAGTGGAACACAGCCGAAGATCCTGCCGGCTATCATATTATTGGGGTCGCCGTACTTGTGTGATGACGGGTGAGGGCCCAGCAGCCGAGACATTGGGACAACCAAGCCATTTGAGCGACATTGTGCTTGGTGATACACAACATAATTCTTGTTTCTTCCAAACCCTTACTTCTGCATCCCCCCGCCTCCTTTCCCCGGCTCATGACGAAACTAAACCTCAATCGCCCTTGGTGAATACGAGTTGAATTGGCTGGATCGTGATGGCTCACGAATGAACTCAGCGACGGGCCCACGTCACCGCTGCGTCGTGAGTGTCCGGTGCGTTAGGACACTGCACTGATAAAGGTTGCCGAGTAAACGAGACGAGCTGGCATATGCCATGCAACTGCAACTTTCGGAGGAACGTGTAGTGGTAGCGGGGTGACGGGGCTTTCATCCCTTTCCCTAGAAGAGCAGGGACTAGACGGCCGAGTCAGGCCGAGCTAGAAGTCAGCAATGCGGCAGTAATCCGCGAGCATCTGGTGTTTCCCAAGACCAGGTTCGAGTCCATGATTGGCGAAACCTGTGAGAGGCTCCCGAGCAGGATATGCCGCCAACTAGTTGTAGGCTGAATGCTTTGGCGGAACTCGGATACCTCACAGGCACCTCGGCAGCCCTGTGCGCAGCTTGTAGGATGTAGCTAGCCAAGTGTGCATCCAAGGCGCTCACTAGCGTCTTGTTGGCGCATGACTTGCACCAATTCGCATCTGTGTATCACCAGAAAATAGATATTGTCTTCGGACCGGTCACCGAGATCTCTGTCGAAGCCCGCACGAAGGTGTTCCATGGCGGAAATGGAAGAATTAGAGTTCAGCATCCTGGCTGGTCGTGAGAGAGGGAAAGATTTGAGGGTGTCGTAGAAAGACATAGGAATTTTGGCCCCACCTTGGCTTGATGTATGAAACGATGCGATCGAAACTAGTCACATTGACATATTCGTAATCTTTTGGTGGCCGTCACAATTCCACATGCTCGCAAGGTTCAACGTGCAGCTGAAGCTCGGCAACTCAGGTTGGCGACGCCGTAGGCTAGTGGGATAAGAAGAAGAAGAAGAAGAAGAAGCAGCAGAAGCAGAGGCAGAAGAAGAAACTAAGCCGGGCTAAGCGAGTTTGACGGCTGGAAACTGAGAGCTTTCGCCCAAGTATCATGTCTCAAACCGACGAAGCTGGGGTTTTCTATAGAGCCTGGTGCCGGCAACCCTGCATTCCCCCTTGTGCCCGTCCGCAGGGATGAGCGCAGATCATCCAATCATCGCCCGAAGTTGTTTGGGCATGGGGTAACGCAGCATCCCCAGCCAATCTGCATCGAAATGCTTGGTTGGGAAAATTCAGACGAACGCCTCCGCGATACTCCTTTCAACGAATAGACCGTTGGGCACTGCGGTTTGTCGCCGCAGAAAGGGTTCCTTCGTTCCTACTTGTTTCTCGCCTCGGAATTCGGGCGTGCGGGATGGAACGGCGCTCCAGCTAGCATTCCTCGACCAGCCGTTGCCCTTACACATTAAGTAGTGGCGTTGAGGCTATTTATTAGCCTACGCCTCTTGAAGACTCGTGGAAGTCATTGTTGGACGTGTCTGACGTTCCGATGTGCTTCTTTGCAAGCAATCAGGGACGGGTAGAAATCTTCACTAGCCGTCTCCCTTGATCCTGGCGGGTCTCTAGAGCTGTATGATGTTGCCGTAAAATCTTGCAGCCCAGCCGTACGTGGCAATACGCATCACGTTATGATTGGCTCTTTCTTGTGTATGTCTACGACATTGTCATGCATCGGGCTGGCAAGCTGAAAAGCTCGTCCTTCCCTGCGTTGACCTAACCAAGCTCGGCTGAATGCCGTTTCTTTTCCCATGTTTTATAGGACTCGGGTGGAGATCCATTGATGTTAAACCTGCGTCTCTACTGTCAAACTTCGTGCCGGCTGTGAGAGAAGTGATAGGACCAGCTCTTTCTTTGGATCAGCCCAGACCCAACTATGTTGCCGTCCCGGAAAAACATCACGCTATGGGCAAAAAAAGAAGCCCATCGTGCGTGCGCTAAGTCGTCAGAACCAGCGAGTCACCGTGAATGGGAGGTCCGAGCAGCCTGGAAATAGGTAGGGTCGCCGACCTTGGTTATGTAGGTGTTGGTGGAAAAGAGGCTTGCTCTGATCTTGATCGGCGCGGCTGCCCTTTACCGGCGACCCCTTTTCTCCGATCCTCTGAGGTCGATCAGCTCAGACCAGCTCAGGAACACCCGGCCCTTGCCCAGGCGAGGTATAGGCACATCGGTCAGGACTCCAGTACTTCCTAACATACTAAGTCGTAGCTTGAACACTAGCCATCACTGCTGCGCCCAGTACAGACAATCAACCGTGAAGAAGGTCCTCCAGCCTGTCTTTTCCGAATACAATTCTCCATGGTGGGTGGGGATACGTCGTGAGATTAATCACTGTCGCGCCAGAGCGTCCGCAGGTCCCGTACCGCCACTTATGTCTTACTCTGGCATCCTTGATATGTCTTGGACAGGCCCGCAGTCTTCCCTGAGGAAGCACGCCGCTCCAAGCCCCCCTCCCCTTAAGTTGGTTAACGGCCGCTCGTCCTCGAGCTTGCCACGCGAGCTGGAATATATATCATTGAGTCGATAGCCCGTCGCGGTCAAGAGAGACATTAGCGAACGAGTCGACCCTGGGTGGACCCTCCCAGCCTATTTTCGCCAACATGTCTGCAACGACAGAAGATCTGTTCGCCAAGTATCACGGGCACATCGTACCGCGAGCCTTCAATGGCGGCTTCATTACACTGAGCTTCGCCGTCAGCTTGATCGGTGCTGCCTCAACGCTTGAGTTGTTGAATCGAAGAACTTCGCCCAAAGGAAAGTTCAACCAGTATGTTGCTTTCGCCCCTTGATCACGGCGCTATTTCGCTCACATAGCGCAGTTTGCTCTTGGTCAGCGCTGCCGTAACCATGGGAGGAATTGCAATTTGGTGCATGGTACGCAGAGCAGTGGTGGTTGCTGATTCCTATCTGACATCAAGACAGCATTTCATCGGAAACCGAGCAATCGACTTGGCGGATGGGGAGGCAGAGCTGCAAATCGCCTACTCGAGTGGCTTTACGGCCTTGTCTTTCTTCGTCCCAATTGCTGTCCTTCTCGCTGCTTTCGTCGCTGTCGGTATCAACAATACTGTATCTTGGTGGCGAGTTGCTGTCGGAGGTGTCCTGGCTGGTGCCGCCATATGTGGGATGCACTATCTTGGCAACAACTCCATCGACAATTACATCTGTATCTACAACCCAGTAAACGTCATCGGTGCAGCTCTCATCGCTGTAGCAGCCAGTATCGTGGCCTTGTCTCTCTTTTTTGTGTTTCGCGCGGCATGGACGAACTCTTGGTGGAAGCGAGCTACATGCGCCGTTGTATTGGCTGGTGCTGTTTCGGGAATGCATTGGTGTGCAGCGACTGGCACAGAATATCAGCTTGTTCGTCTCAACACCGGCAGCAATGAGCTTTCTCGCAACACTACCGTCATCGTCGTTATTTGCCTGGTAGGTTCTCCAAACGTTATCTGCGGTCGCTGAATCGTCGTCACTGACGTTGTGGCTAGTCTATCGGCGCATGCTTCATCATGGGCGGAACAGCCATCTATACGGCCAGGATTATGAGGCGCTATGCGAGTAAAGCTCAACAAGTTGTGCTTGCCGCCGCCGTATTTGACAGGCACAACCGGATTCTCGTCAACCCTGACGGCCTAGTACCTACCGAGAAGATCACCGACACGTTCCTGGAGAAGAACGCGAGCGACAACTTCAGCATATCCCACCCTCTTTTTCTGTGGATGTTTCAAGCATCCAGGAACTGGTCAGGTATTTCGACGTTGGTTGGTGGAATGATGAACCACCTTGCGCACCTTCCTCGTCGAGGCCGGGACCGCGACTCTCGAGCTGGTATCCAGCTAATCAACGAGCACGGCGAGCTGATTGAGAATTATGACGTGATTTTTCGGGAGCTCTTTTGCGTTGCCGCCGCCGGCCTGGCTGAGAAGATGAAGGAACACATAACCTCCGCCGGTCTTCTGTGGGATGAAATTCTGCCAACCGGGGCAGGAGGGGAGCGTCCGGGACTGGAAGCGGATCCGTCTCAAGAACCCGATACGATCTTGAACCCCGACGGAACAGCCCGCAAGGTTGAAGCATCTGGCAGGGCCGAAGACCTCGCTGAGAAAGGTCTCAGACGTCGTCGGCCTCACGAATTTGGTCGCGGTTCGCTTATGTTCTTGGTACGCCGGGTCCATACCGACCGAGAAATCGAAAGACTCGAGGCAGCTGGCTATCGCTTCGCTGAACTGCGACAGGTCGGTAATATTATCGGTTCCAGCATGCAGATCAAGTCACAAGATCTCGAATCAAAACTGCGTAACATGGCTGCTTATGCAGATGACAACAGCCAACTCGAACCTGGCGTACACGTGAGCTTCTTTGGCATTCGCGCTCGTGTCGGTGGTTATGGGTTCGATGTTTTGGTGCGCAAAGGTGCCCGGAACTTGCTTCCCAGCGTACACATGCCCATTGATCGTATCGAGCCGTGGCAGGTGGATTTGCTCCGCCAGGTTGACCGCTTAACACCGCTCGGTGTCAGCAGACGGTTGGCATCATTGAGTAGTCTGGGCGCCAGAGAGATTCTCTTCGCACAACAGCTGACAGACAGTATCGACGCGCTTCGAACGTGGATGAACGACTCGATATTTAACGAGGCGATTTTGACAAGCACTGTGGTCAATCTTCCAGGAAACAAGGTGGAGGGGTCTCCGTCTCAGCCAACAAGCCTCGTCACCTTTCGCTTGGTGATCCCAATCCACGTCAACGTATCCAGTAGCAAATGCGAGTTCGTACCGCTGAATTTCTTCAAAGTCCACCAGCTCGTTGGTCGCGACGCGTCTCGGCATCTTGCATTTACCCAATCAGTTCATCGCGAGATGGCACCCGTCATCCAGTCCGTCCCATTGGAAAAGCCCAGGCCTACAGTGCAGAGCAAGCGACAGTCTCGTCTGCCGTCCGCCCTGCGCAGGCTTGGACGGCTTGGGCAATCATACCCCGTCGACTCTGAAGGGAACCCGATACCTACGGTGCTGAATCGATCATCGTCGGCAACGAATTCGCATGGATCGAGTTCGACGCTTAAGCTGTGGCCAGGACGCCGCAGCAGCGACGCCCTGTCACCAGGGGGCGGAAGCTTCGATGCGCCCCCGGCATACCCAACCCATGAAGCCGCAATTCAGTCTTCGCCGTTTGGCGGTATAGTAAGTTGAGATATCATCGTGAGAATGGTTGAGTGTCCCGTACTAACAGAAATTGCAGATGGTGAGCGAGGAAATCCGGGTGGAGGTGCACTCGGCAGGAGAGGTCGCCCAGGCGGAAATTCAGGACACAGATAAGACAAGCCGAAGGCCCCAAACTCTGATTGGTAGAAGGGCAAGCGACAACCCATCAACGACGGGTGGCGGGATCGGAGTCGGAGTTGGAGGCGAAACGGCGGCGCCCGCAATGGAAGAGGCACGAGGCAAGGCCTCTTCTAATAGCGATGGCGCGATCGAGATGAGGACGTTGCCAGTGGCCGAAATAAGAACCAAAGTCCACGCCGGGGGCGGCGTTCAGATCTCTAATGTCGAAGCGGAGAGATCAAACGATATTCCCACGTTTGTCGATGAGTTGTTCACGATCTGTGTTGAGAGAAGTTGACGGGTTCACGATGGAAGCGTGTTCGTTATGAACGAGTACCGAAAGCACTTGTATGTATGTATGTAGTGAATCAAGATACCCTACCTATTGAATGAGCCAGACCCGGATACCTTACTTAACCAGGTTATCTGCATCATGCATTCATTCCAATCCGGATCAGGACGGCCCCGCTCGGAGGCTGCTTCGTTACTTTTAATTGGTTGATATCTGTCGGACCGCTACCCTCCATTGACGTCAATTCTCCCGCATTAGGCTCTTATGAGGCAACTTGAGGGGAGCTGAGCCAGACCTGGAGCTGGAATGTGAGTGAGGCATGCATGCATGTCTGCGTGCCTCTGGTCCGTATTGAGGCTACGGGACGTGAACAGAGCGTGGATGATCAGTGCCTGGGAAGCCAAGGCACATGTGTGCATGTATTTAAACAAGCCTCAATCCGCAATTTACCACTTGGTGCCTTGGTAAGGTAGGCAGCTTCCACGTCCCCAACTTACCTATTTCCAATCAACGCTTCTACTAATCTCGGTATTGATGTTGCCTGTAGCCGTCCGCGTCACCTTCCATGTGCTTTCAGGTCCACGTGCTTGACGCTTGACGGTCTCTTTAAGAGAATAGAGTCCGGTTAACAAGGTAGGCAAACCAATCAATGCCTTCCATTTTGGTTTTCGCTTCCACTGGAGTTCACCTATACGAAGCAGAAGCACTCGCCCGCCTTCAGTCTCGCCCGATAGCTTCCATCTCCTCATCCTCCGCCACCGAGACGACGGCGGCATGGCACCCGTGCCTAGGTCTGGCGCCGGGCTTCTGCGCCGAATCGCCCCAGTTGCTGGTGTCCTGACAGCCGGTGGTGCCATCATCTACTACACCTACCGGCCCCGGAACATCCCTGGCTTTGAAGCTGCCGCTGTTCCACCTCCCATCTACGGTGCCGACGGTACTTTCAAGCTCCCGCGCTTCCCCAAAGTCAAATCTCGAGATGAACAGATCAGAGAATTGAAACGCAGCGCTTTGCCAGATGGGGAATATGATATCTTGATCGTTGGCGGCGGCGCCACCGGCACGGGAGTCGCTCTCGACGCGGCCACTCGTGGGTTAAAAGTCGCTCTGGTCGAAAGAGATGACTTCTCCTCGGGCACCTCATCCAAGAGCACGAAACTCGTCCATGGCGGTGTACGATACTTGGAAAAGGCCTTCTGGCAGTTGGATTACAGCCAGCTTCAATTGGTCATGGAAGCTCTCAAAGAGCGCAAATACTTTTTGCAAACCGCGCCGCATCTAAGCATGTGGCTACCTATCATGCTGCCCATCGACCGCTGGTGGAAGGCTCCGTACTATTGGGCCGGTACAAAAGCCTACGACTTCCTGGCTGGGAGTGAGGGTATAGAAAGTTCTTACTTCCTTACCCGATCCAAAGCTCTCGAGGCTTTTCCCATGCTGAAGCGAACGGATCTTGTCGGCGCCCTTGTCTACTACGACGGCGCTCATAACGACTCCCGTATGAATGTGTCCATCGGCATGACGGCGGCTCTGTACGGAGCCACTGTAGTCAATCACATGGAGGTTCTTAGTCTGCAGAAAGATGCCAGTGGGAGACTGTGTGGTGCTACTGTCAGGGATCTTGTGGCCAGTAAAAATGGCCAAAAGACACAAGATGTGCCTGTGAAAGCAAAATGCGTCGTCAACTGCACGGGTCCCTTCACAGACTCGATTCGCAAGATGGATCAGCCCGACTGCAAAGCTATCGTGAGCCCGGCTTCTGGAGTTCATATTATTGTAAGTACATTTAGACTCTTCCATCTCTCTCTTCTTGGCCACTAAGTTGTTGTCGTAGCTTCCTGGTTACTACAGTCCCTCCAATATGGGACTCATCGACCCCTCCACCTCTGATGGCCGTGTCATTTTCTTTTTGCCGTGGCAAGGCAACACAATCGCCGGAACCACCGATGAGCCCTCGTCCATCTCACAAAATCCGTTGCCCGATGAAAAGTCCATTGAGTGGATCCTTAAAGAAATCAGCCATTACCTCTCTCCCGACATTAAGGTCAGACGTGGTGACGTTCTCGCTGCTTGGTCCGGCATCCGCCCTCTCGTCAAGGACCCCAAGGCCAAAAACACGGAATCGTTGGTCCGAAACCATCTCGTTGACATATCAGCCTCTGGTCTGCTTACATGCGCGGGCGGGAAATGGACCACATATCGACAAATGGCCGAAGAATGTGTCGACGCTGCCATTGCCGAGTTCAACCTCCAACCAAAGCCTTTGAGGGATCCTCCGCGAATGAGTGGCACTGACATCATCGATGACGGCGCCATTCTCGATGGAAGCTGCAAATCCCATCAGGTCCGCCTTGTTGGAGCACATGGATTCAGCAAAACGTTGTTCATCAACATTATTCAGCATTTCGGCATTGAGACCGAAGTAGCAAAGCATCTTACTGAGAGCTACGGTGATCGTGCATGGACTGTCGCTTCCCTGTGTCGACCAACCAACAATCGCTTCCCTGCCCGAGGCGAGCGAATTTCTCAATTGTACCCTTTCGTTGATGGAGAAGTGAGATATGCAGCCAGACACGAGTACGCTCAAACAGCAGTGGACGTGCTGGCTCGACGGATGCGTTTGGCCTTCCTCAACGCCCAAGCTTCCCTTGAAGCTCTGCCCCGGATCATTGACATCATGTCGGAGGAGTTGGCGTGGGATAGGCAGCGCCAGGAGCTTGAATGGAGAGAGAGTGAGTAAAACTAATTTCAAACCGGCCTTCCCTTCACGCCGCTGCTGTGCTCTGCTCATTCTCATTAGCGGTCGCCTTCCTCGAGTCTATGGGGCTGCCAAAACCCATGCTTTCGGCCACCAGGACCCAGGTCGAACAGGGCAAGATTGACTTTGCCAACTCGTTGGAGTACAAAATGTATTCTAGGCACGATGGCACTGCCGACGAGTAAGAGGTATTGCGGTCGAAGGGTTACCCCGCGGTGTGTCAAACCCATGAGAAATTCCAAGATTTCAAGATAGAATTCAACAAAACGGCAATAAGAACACTCGCAAAGAATTAATTCGCACTAGTCAGAGGATTGCGGATCTTCTTTCGCGTCTGGCTTGGGGGATCTGTTTGCCTCTTTGTTACACGACGCAACTATCTCAGAAAATACCACAGAATGACATGTAATTGTTGGCTGCCACTGTGCGATGCCTCAGGAGGCAAATATATGACGTGCCTAGTGATCCCAATTACTCTTACGCCATTCGTCAACATCCATACTTGCCGCGTCACAAAGTCACAACCATAGGGTGAAAAGTAGGAGCTTAGATCGGACATGTTTTACACATTGACAGGGTCTAAATGCATGACCTGTTTGCGTGCCCTGACTGCTCTTTAAAATAAAATAAAAAACCGGCAGAAAGAAGAAGGAAGTCATATGCCTCATCCGACCTTTGCGTGCCAATGCATATGAGAGAAGTTGGCGAACCGTGGACCTCAGAAGAAAAAAGGGCCTTCTTTACTCAACCATTTCTGGTGTAATAAAGCAAAAATCAAATCAAATAAACCGCTCCAACCAGCTCCTCGCAATGCATCATGATATTTTCCAGGCCAAGCCTTTAAATGCCACAATAACTCCTCATCCATGTGTCCGAACCCATGTCTATGATCCATCCCTTTTTGTTTTCCAAAATGCAGTCGTGATATCTTTCTTGCCACCAAATTTGAATACAGATGTCGAAGGTAAGGACCTGAACGCCGATAAAATGTGCAAAAAAGAGTTGTTGAGACCTCGCGGCAACTTTGTCAAGGCATCGCCTAGAAGCCGGAGACGCTCACGAACGTTGTAATGATGGCGCGTTAACTAGAGGTGCTGCTTGCGCGACGAACCTCGATGTCGATGTCCTTGGGTATAGGCCCCATGCTGAAAACACGGTGCAAGAGGCTGCGTTTTGTCAAACTCGTTCGCCGGTATTGATATTCGTGATCGTACTGGCAGGGCAGAGGGGGACTGCTTTGCTTACTCTGCCGGTCGAGTTCAGCGTCCCATCCGTAAAGATCCTCATCCGGGGCAACATGGCAGTATGTTCCGGGCTCCGCGTTGTCTACAGCGATATTCTCTTCGGAATGAACATTGATCCCAAGGAGGTTGGAGAGGTCGGTGAATTGACAGTCGATTGGTGGAGAAGCAGGCAGCGGCAGGTCGCTCGGTTTCATGTCTGCTTTGCCGGAAACATTCACAATGTGGGCATCCGTCTTCTCGGTTCCCGATTCACACTCATCATTGACAGTAGCTGTTGTTTCCATTGCAGAGTGAACGTGGATGTCGCGAACCGCCGGTCTCGGTGCGGATTTCGCATCGTGATCTTCGGATATCTCGGTGGTAATTTTGAGTGGAACCGGCGTATTGGTTCGAGCTCGGACACGAATTGGTCGTCGCACCAGCCACGGACGATTGGGGTTGTACGGAGTAAGTTCTTTCGCGGCCATGCCACCTCTACGTCCACCATTCAAGTGGTATGAACCAGCGTTGGCAACCTTCTCAGTCTCCTGGTTAGCCCCGGCAAGAGGCAGCCGTTTGCCAGGATGAGGCTCCTCCCAAGGGTTGAAAAGATGACGGACGCGGGAGAGACTGTCCAAAGGGAGGTGAGAAGTGGATGTTGCGGGAGTGGTGAATGTAGATGGCAGCATGACCTCTGATTCCTATAAGGTGTTGCTCTGGCTAGTTTCAGCCATGCTGATGTCTCCGTCCAAAGGAGCGGACGACGTAGGGTTATTTCGCCGGTTTGAGCGTGACTTGCGGTGCAATCCCAGCTTCGCGCCGACCTTTTTCCAGCCGTTGTTATGAGCCGTCAGTGCTCGCTGAAAGCCACCACCGGGTGATGTGCTGCTGAACGTCCAATCTGAAGTTGGTGGCGTGGTGGGAGGCGTCATGGGTTCGGTACCAGGGGAAACAGCACTTCCACTGTCGTCTATCAATCCTTCACGCTCTATGTGCTCACCCGATGCCGAAGCGGATCGGCTGGTAGCTCCGCTGCGCCCAATAGTCAGTTTAGGAAGAAACTTAGGAGATCGCCTGGGTTCTTCTAACCTGGCTCCTACTTCATCTGCTCCACGAGCGCGCGAGCGGCCCTGGCGAATATCAACCGGGTCTTCGTCCATGCGCACATCGCTGTGATTCGGCAATGCTGATTCGATGAATGGAAGGAGAACGGAATCATTCATCAACTCGTACACAATCCTCACGGCCTCATCGAGCTCGGATGGCGATGGAGGGCTCGTCGAGCAGGTCTGGGCAATGAGACGATCTCGCACGGGAGAGGGGAGATTGACTTCCCGGGGAGAGTAGGGGATGATGTAGGCTTGCATCAGTTTCTCCCATAGTTGACAGACATGGTCGTTTCCACCCTCCCCAGCCCAATCCTTGTTGGTGATGAACTTGTCGTAATCCTTTCGGTATCGCTCCGCATCCATAGTAAACTCTAGCGTTTCCAAGCAATGGTTCTGAGAAAGGTAGGCCATGAAAGCGGCCAAGGTCCACGGAGGAGAAGACGTGTTGGCAAGAATTTCGGAAAGTGAAGGTGGCGTGACAATGACAGCGCCGGGCATCAAGGACCCGCTCGTGGGCCTGGATCTCGACATGACTATGTTGGTTTCCCAGCCCGTAGTTGAGGCTGGACTGGGTGGTGACAACTCCCTCTCGGGAGATGGTGATGGACTCAGGTAGATGGGGGAGTGTCTCCGTATCCTGGACCTTTTCATTTCCACGCAAAGGTGTTATTCAGGAATGAAAGGTGCCAATTGTCCCACTCCGAGGAAGGGTAGATGACCTGGAAGACGGGGTAGCCTGGCTTGCTTAGATCTGCTTCAAGAACCCCATAGAAGGCCGTTGACCCGGTCGACGAGTATTAGAAATATGCGGATAGTTTGCCAATAGGATGGTGTTGCTCAACGCCGGCAACTCATCCAAGGTCGATTTTCGGTCGTCCAAATGCTGCCGTCCTATACCAAATTTCTTGTATGCGAAGACACTACCGAATTTGTTCTTCGTCGCTAGTAGGCGTTGAGAATGTTGATCGTATGATTGAGCGTTGTGGTGAAGTGGCTATGTCAAGGCGTCTAACCAGAGGAGAGAGACAGCTGTGGGCGGGAGAACCGGCGACGTGCTGGAACAGACGGGGCCCACGCGAGGTAAATAGCCCAGGGAGCGTTGCAGATAAGAACGATTTCCTTGGGGTGGGCTTTGCAAAGAGGCTTGCACTAAGGCAGCGCTGGAGACGCTAGAAGTGTCTTGGTGACGGGAATGGAATTGACTCGTTGCAATCGTCAATAGGTGAGCGCAATGCTGCTTGCAGAAAGTGGTGGAGAGCAGTAGTTGGACGGCAAGAATGCGCCAACTGCGAAGGTAGCCGGCTGGCAGAATGCTCTAGGAGATCTATGCGGAATGCGACCAAGCCACACGTTCGACTGCGGACCAACAGACTTTGCGGATGAGTACCGATCGCGGTAGGAAACGGGTCCTGAGTAGTTCGTGGCTTGCAGTATGGCGATGTGACGTCTTGATCGCTGGGCTGTTCGGGGGCGTGGTGGATGCTGATCGAAGCAGGAGGGGGACGCGTTGGGCGGTCGAATTCGTCGATACTGTACGAGACAAGAAAAGGCGCCCGGTATCGAAGTACTGGGACAGGAGAACAAGATGGGTGTGGTTATGCAACAGCGAACGAGTGACAGAGACTTGAGGTTTGAGCCGGACAGTGGTGGCGGCGAGGACGATGGCGTTCGGCGGATGCGGAATGTGGTTTCTCCAATAGTGTCAATCAGGCGGGACGGGTGATGTCGAAGATGGGATCGAGCGATAGATTGGGAGAGAGAGGAAGAAGAAGAAGAAGAAGAAGATGTGGTAACAGCGTGATGTCGAGCGGGTCCGAATTATTGATTGACAAGTAGAGGGATGGTGAAGCATGAACGGCAGGAATGATGTGGATGGGTCGTGGTGGGAGAAGAGAGAGACAGAGAGAGAGAGGAACATGAGGAAGCTAAAAGCAGTCGGTTCCCATAAGTCGTGTCGCTCAGGTGGAGGGAGGCACCTCATCCAGGTATCCGTACTTGCTGGCGGCGACGGCCGTACCGTACCGTAAGGCAAGGAATGGTAGGCGTAGGTATGGACATTGAGGGGGCCACCAGGCAGGGAGTGTGGCCCGTGAGGTACCGTAGCTGGGCAGGTACCTGAGGAACCTCCGCTTTAGCGCGAGCTTCTAGCAGGTCGGCAAGGGATCTAAGGGGAGGTACGTACCCAAAACCTTTTGCCTCGCCTCACCTCACTTGCCCATTTGGGAGGGAACGTACCGCCAGTGCTGCGTACTGCAGTAGGTGGTCGGGCAGGGGTCGAAGGGACTTGGACCGGGGAGTGACATCAAATCAAATGCCTTCTACTTCTCCTTGCCACCCATGCCCGTTCCCCATCCACCAGCAACAGACCATGCCATCGACCAACTACCAAGCCGACGCGATCCACGCAGCTTTCTCGGTCCAAATCAATCAGTCAATCATCCAGTCGCTCTGGTCCGCGAGGAGAGAGGAGACTTGGACGCCGGATTGAGAGAGCGAAACGTCGAGTGAGCTCGAGGGAGTTGGAAGAAGCGGACAGAGAAATCTGCTGAAGCGCCTAAGGTAGAGTACAATTATTATAAAAAAAAAAAAATAAAAAAAAAGAGGATTCACCCCCCGTCTGAGTGCCTATGGGAAGTTCAGGGCGAATGTACCCGCATACGGGACAAGGCCGCAAAAGAGGCAGCGGGAGCAGCGCTGGCTGGCTGTGGCGATACCTCATTGCTGGCAAGCATCCACTCAGATAGCGAGCCACTCCATCACGGCGCTGGCCCACCCTGTGCGGAAATACTTACAGGCTGTGGACAAGGGTTCATTAGATAGGTAGGCAAAGAAGACGAGGCGAGGCAGATGGGAGTCTACTACCTATGTAGAAAGGCATCTAGGCTGAAGGAGCGAGGGGCACATTTGCACGGTACGGCACTTGGCCCTCCAGAGTGAGACGGGACGGGCTTGAGAGATCCCTTCCACTCGATGATGGACTGACTACCTTGCGGATAGATACGACCCATGCCTGCGAGCAGCTGCCCGACAAACACCATAAATACCTATACAAACAGACACCCGAGGCGGAGACCAATGAGATATCGGTGGAGGCACGCCGTGACTAACGAGCGGCAGGACGCGTTGCTCTTGCGACGACATAGTGGCACAAAGACGGGGACAGTCTTCACATCGGTCAGTGTCGCCGGCGGCCGGGCGCGCACCTGGACTGGACGTTGAGGCGATAACGGGAGTGATCTAGATACCTACCTTAGGTAGGACCTACGAATAGGCACCTTCCGCCGTAGCAACTCTACCTAGGTTAGGCCCCAGGCGGGTTATTCGGTCTGCTGAGGAAGCCGAGCACGCTGGCCTGGTCTTTCCCATCCTCTCACCCCGTCCTCCATCTCCCGTGTGGTCGCATCGCCATCAGGGAAGTCAAGGGGCTTGAACCCCTTTGGACCCCCTTTTGGCAACCGGGGCCGCCTAGGGTAGGCAGGTACGCGGTTGCGATGGGGCCCTGGCTGGGCAAATTCAAAATCGTCGTGGCAGACGACCATTCACAATTGAGGTGGCACAACATGAGAGCATAATATAAGTGGAAAAAAAGGCACAATGGAAGGTGGATGGAAGCTGGGACAAATCGCACCGTCGCAGGAAGGCAACGCGGAATGGAATGTACGGATAGCGCCATAGTGCGAGTGGCCACTGGCAAGTTGGCAACACAACCGGAAGTTGGTGGGGCCATTCTGAGAGTGACACTGCACGGTCAGTGGTGACTGGAAGGACGTGAAGGAAAAAAGAAGAAGAAGAAGAAGAAGAAAGAAGAAAGGCGTGAGAAAGGTGTGAGTGGAGCATGGACTAGAGCGCGCTAGAAGGCTTCGAAGGCGGGGCCGAGTGATCCAATAGCGCTTTGGTGTCTGCTGATAGGGCCCGAATAGGGAAAGTCAGTAGAAAAAACGGAGATGGAAAATGGAAGCTGTGGAACTTTCGAAGAAGGATGGTAAGAACGCAAGGCAGGGAGGGCCCGACCTCACACCTGGAGGGGACCAGGGTCAGGGTTGTTCAGGAGGTGAGAGGCACGTATCCGTAGGTACCTACCTACCTACCTAGGATGAAGCATGGTGGCGGGTCCTTGGGTCGCAGTGGTCTACATAGTACATAGTAGGTCGTGGTCTAGTCTGGCTTGGGGTTTTCTTGCTGTCCCCCTTCTCTCAAGAAAATGAAAAAACAACCCCAAAAAGAAGGGACACTCCCAGCGCCCCCGTTTGGTACGGAGATTGTGCCGCGCCTTATTTTATGCTGTCCGCCACGAGACAGCGCCCGCGACGCGCGATACATGAGAGACGTAGCGTACATAGTACGGCCTTGCCGTCCCCGTCCCGTCTGGACGAGTCCATCCGGTCTCGGGCTGGATGCGGCAACGTCCAACTTCTCTCCCTTTCTTTCTGCTGCGTACGGATAACTATCGTCGCTTGGCTCAATGCATGCATCAAGTCTGAGCCTCTCCATCGTTTTCTTCACGCCGTTGTCAAACATCCGTCTCACTAGTGTAGAGCAACACATCAGCAACCGTCATCGTGATGGTAAGAAGGTAAGGTAGCCTGCAGCCCTGGTGCCGGCTGCCGGCCCCCCTCCCTTGGCTCATGCTCGTCTTCTCCGTTTAATGCCCGCTCGTCCAATCAACGACGGCACACTTGTCCGCTGTCCACAAATTCTCCTCTCCTCCGTCCCATCCCCATCCCATCCGCAATGCTCCAGTGGTAGCACCCTTCTCACTCTCCCCCTCTTCCTCGCCCGGCGCTGTCGGGCGTCGGAGTGGGTGCGGACGTGGGCGTGACACATTGACGCATGGTCTTCACAACGCGTGCCAATGGATGTAATTCGATGTCACGGATTCCACCAGACGGCATGTCATCAGTCTACCAGTACCCTCAGGCTTGGTTGGCACATTCCTACGGCGAAGGCGCCCGTGATTGAGGCGACGCTGTTGGGCAGGTTGGAGCTGTCGGGGTTGCGGTAGTGGTAGTGGTAGTGGTGGCCGTCGCCGTGGCAGTGGCAGTGGCAGTGGTAACGGTCGGTCCCAGGCCTGTGGTTGTCGTCTTCGTCTCTTTCCCGCTCTCACTCGCTCGCTCTCTGACTCGCGCCCTATCTTGCTTGTACTTCACCTCGGCCATGACTGTGATGTGACCAATTCTCGTGTGCTCGGTCATCTCTCCGTCGCCGGTGTTTCGTCGCATCTTGCTGAACATCTCGCCGTAATCGTCGGCTGCTATCCCGTCTTCTGCCCTCACTCAGCCCGCGTCGCCATGAACCAAACAACCACGGCATACCAGTTGCTTTGTTTCCGTGCCAGTAACAAATCCTCACTCTCCCTCGGCGTCGCGCGTCGCACATCCTATCCACATCCACATCCACAGCGTCTCTGCTCCGACCCACCGCAAGAGAAACATCCGACAAGCTAGTGTCCCCCTCAGCGCTTCAGCGGCCGCCTGGTGTTGACGGGGACTGCCGGGCCTGGCACGGCTGCTAAGCAACCTGTATGTCGTTTT